TGCTCTTAGGGGCAGTCTTGGGGTTAGGCTCTAGGGTCCCTCTCAAGGACCCTTGGTTAGTCCTTGGGGGGTCGTACCTTGACGTTTAACCCCTAAATACCTCAACCTAAGCTCGGGACATCACTTTACAACCTCAAACCCCACAACAAGCTCAAAAACAAACTCGTTAGGCTCTAGTTTTACTTACTTGTTTTCCAGGTCGTTACACATGGGTACTCGCCCCCATGTCCATTCATCATAGTAAGAATGTGGGGACTCGCCTCTTGTTCAATTCTAAGGAGTAGGGGAATCACATTACATCATTTGATATGGAGGTCAAGGGTAATCGTCTCTAGCCTCATCATTCATAAAGCATTTTTGTGTAGATTCATTTTAGGTGAGAAATCCGTTCAACCTAGAATAATTCATGTCAGTAAACATTTCCCATTCATTCAATCATGCTTATCAAATCTTTAACGACATGTAAAATGAATAACTGAAACTAGAGACTAACATGTGTGTGTTTGAGTTTGTGTGAGATTTGAGGGTGTAAAGAATGTTGTTTCAAGCTATGGTTGAGGGTTTTAGGGGTTAAACATCAAGTTATGACTCCCCAAGGACCACCCTACGGGTCCTTAAGGAGGACCCTTAGCCCAACCCCAAGGCTTCCCCAGAAAAGAAAAGTTGCCTAAAACTTGGTGACCTACGAAAGGGGACCACACCCCGTAGGACAATCCATGCCCCGTGGATGGCCTCCATAGGTCAAGCCCCAAAATTTTGAGTTGTATCCACAAACCATGCTAGGAAAACATGGTCCGTGTACCCACCCACGGTCTGTGGGTGGGGGTCTGTGGTTGGCCACCGTAAAAGCTGCAATTCTCGGCCAATGTGGGGGTGTTTTGGTAAATTGCTATTAAGTCTAGTTTAGTTGGGGGACGGTTTTAATTAGCTATTTAAGTTATTTAAAGTGTTTTGAAAGTATTAAAACATATTTTAGACTTCATTATTTCAAAACCCAAAATACAAACCTCCCATCCCCTCCAAAAGTTCTCTCTCTAGAAACCTCCATTGGAGGTCAAGACTTCAAGCTTCCAAGGTCAAAAATTCAGGTTTTTCAAGGAATTTTTGTGGTTTTCTTCCATTAAAGGTATGGTAGTATTCATCCTTGACTTAGTTTCTTTCAAGGAGCCAATTTCAAAGTTAATTTCAAGTCTCCAATGTTACCCCAAAACCCTAGTTTTCAATCATGGCATGGGTTCAATTCCAAATGACTTTCAAAGGCATTATTGCATTGAATTATGAATTAATTGTGGATTTAAATATGAATTAATATGATTTTTTCCTAAAACCCATGTTTTCCCCCAAATTCCTAAATTGTGATTAGTGATTGGGAATTGATTGATTATGCAAGTATGTTGAATTGTTGATGTTTATATTGAATTAAGTGATTGAATCATGTCAAATTCCTATTCTATTGTAGTAGTTTGGATTTATGGATTATATTGGTTCATGGCCTTGAAAAGCAATTCTTGAAGGATTATTATGTGAAGTATATGTGTGTGATCTCAATGAAAGTGTTATGATCATCTTCAGAATGTAATTGTGTAATTGTTGATAGTATACTCTCAATGAACCTTTATGAATGCTGATGATATATGTGAAAGGGTATTCTCACATACACACACTCTTGAATGAAGAATGAATGAAGTTTTCTATGATTATGTTAATGATAATGCATTAATTGAAAGGCTATTCTCAATTGTACTCTAATGAATGATAATGACATGTTGTGAAAGGGGTTTCTCACAATATGGGGATTCTTAGTTGAAAGGTTGTTCTCATCTTTGAATCTATGAGTTCTCCAATGAATGAATGTTGGGATGGGATGGATGCTCATCCGGGAATTGAGGTGGGGTATCTAGTAACAATCCTTATATCCCATTTTAGTGAATGTTGGGTTTGAGATGGATGCTCATTCGGGAGTTGAGGCGGGGTATCTAGTAACAATCTCTTATCCATAATGAACTACGGTAATGAATGTTAACTACTCCGTGGGGAATAATGCTAAGCACCGAGTGGATATGGCTTGAGATGGATGCTCATCTGTGAGTTGAGGTGGGGTACCTAGTGGCAATCTCTTGAGATGGATGCTCATCCGTGAGTTGAAGCGGGGTATCTAGTAGCAATCTCCCTATCCCATAAACTATGTTCCCACATAGGTCTAGCTAGTGGATCCACTTAAGCTAAAAACAATGGTCCTATCTTAGGCAAGTAGGAATCCCTTATTCGGTAAGGGTGACACCAGGATTCCATGAATTGCTCACATGGTCTATGTCGGTTAAGGATTACCCCCACAAAGAATGTTAATGAACTATGTCTTTTCAAGAATGCACTACTTAGTGCGGGTGGTAGAATGGGATGTCATCCATGCATTGCACAAGTATGCTTTGAGAGAGGTTGTGGTGTGTTCCTTTATAATTTTAAGTGTAATGAATGTACTCTTATGATGATGTTAATGCGAATGTTGGCTTAATGTCTAATGAATGAAGGTGTTCTTAATGAAGCTAATGGCGAATGTTGACTTATAAGCTTAAATGTAATGATGCATGCTATACTTGGATTGCATTATGAGTTACTTCCTTGTCATGACTTAACGAATATGAATGTGCCTTGCCTACGGTGATTTCAAATGAGTACCTAGTGTGAGTAGAAGTGTGGGATGTTACTTGCACATTGCACAAGTATACCTTAGGGTTGTCTTAGGTGATGGTCCTTATGTGATGATATGGCTTATGTAAGGTTTATGTCTCTTATGTATGTGTATCGTGTAAATATGGTAAGGTTGAATGGGAAGTTCACTATTGGTGACCTTAAGGTGGTACTTTAGTGTGGATGGTGGTATGGAACGCTATCCATACATTGCACAAAGTATAGCTTGAGGGTTACTTAAGGTAAAGGCCTAAGGTGAAGGTAAAGGTTTATATGTTGATTATGTCCTAATGTGGTTAAATGTCTTGTATGTTGGTTATGTGTGAATATTATGCCTCATATGCTTATGTTCATGAAGGTTTTCTCAAAATGACATATATCATGACTTTCAAATAAAATGTCCGTTTTAAGCATGTTTTTGCATGACTATCATACTTAGTACTTAATTGTCCTAACCCATTCTTTTTCATGTTTTACTACAAGTGTAGGTTCCGGCATTTGAGTGATTCTCTCTAGTTGAAGCTTGGAATTGAGATTCTCCAAGACTAAGTGGTATGTCCTCGTAGATCGAGGACAAGTAGTTGATGTTTCCTTTCTTTTCAGGTAATAGACATTTGTTAAGACTTCGATTGTAAAGGGCTATAATCCTATTTTGTTTCAAGTATTTTGTTTAGATGGCCATGTGAGACGATAGACTTCTGCTTGCTTTTAATGTTTTCGATTGTTGGATTTATAAAATAAATGTTTTAAATTCCGCACTATTTCTAAGTATCTTATGCAATGAATATGCTATAGGCTTGTATAAGACCCCTTCGGGGTCGAGTACGCCTGTCGCTTCCGTGGTGTAGACTCGGCTCGTGACAAATTCATTATAGGAAGTATCTCTTCCACATCATAGTATTTACAATCAACAATGCATATTCTAGGCTTTACTCTCAAAGCACTACGTCTCATGATCACTATCTATGCTTTACTCTCAACAAATTAACATTATATTCGTCATATATGCTTCAATATGGAGCAATTCTATTTATAATTCATCAATCCTATAAGAAGATATCTAACTCATAGAGTTTCCCTCACATGGCATCAAACGCACTATATCAATTCAACCCTAAAATCATAGAATAAGAATGGGTACATGTAATTTCATCCTAAATACATTCAATTCTATCAATTCAATCATACACAATCATAATCCACTCAATTGGATCAACATTCATCATAACCCTGAACAATGGAAGAAACCCTAACTAGAATTGGGGAAATTCTTCTTCAAATTGTGGAATTCTAGGGGACTCTATGGGAAGAAGGATCCCATTAATGAAAAGCCATCATACCTTAGTCACAATGCCCACACAATCTTGAAAATTGGAGGCTCTATCTTGTCCTAGCTTCAATCTCCTTCTTCTTATTCCAACTTCTTAAGAGAGAATATTTGAGAGGAGTTTTGGGAATTCTTTTGGTATTTTTAGGGAATGACTTAATCGGGGTATTTTGGGGGGTTAAAATCACTTTTAGAGGTTTCTTAGACTTAGACAAAATGACATCACTTCAATTAAATTAAAACCAGAAAAGATCCAACCACCGTGCAGTTTAATTGTCAGTTGTCACCCACGGAATCCCCACCTATGGACCGTGGGGTCCATCCTGCAAACCATGGTTCTCTGTCAGGGAATTTTACCCGACCTACGAACCCCTGGACCATGGACCATGGACCGTGGACCCACTTATGGTCTGTGGGTCCAGTTGTGGACCTTGTCTGGAGGATTTTTGGGTTGTCCTCTCCACGGACCAACCTATGGTCTGTGGTCCAACCCATGAGCCGTAGTTGGCCACCGTGGATGGCACTTGAAATCTCTGTAAAATGGATACCTAGCCCTAGATCAAATATGGGGTGTTACATTATCTCATTTTTGGTACAAAAGGAGTCACAAATGACAAAGTAGCACCCAGATCAAGCAAAGCATACACATATATATGGAAGACTTTTAACTTACAAGTCACAACATCCGGGGAACTCTCTTGATCACCTTTAGTTTGGAGAGCATAAAAATGGTTTTGCTTAGGAGTATTTCCACCCGAACCACTCGGACCGGATGTAGAGTAGGGCTGAGTCGTACGACGACCATCTCCATCATTCTTAGCAACCAAAGGACAATCTATTATTTTATGATCCATTTTACCACACCCAAAACAAGCATTAGAGCATGATAGACACTTCCCTTCGTGGTTTCTCCCCCATTTAGCACAGGTAGCACAAAAGATTTACCTCCATCTCCTTGGGGTTTAGGGTTAGACACCATTTCCTTTCATGGCCTCGGAGGAGCATTTGTAGAAATTTTCCCTGAGTACCTTTGCCGTAATCTAGAACGACCTCGTCCACCGAACCTAGAATGTTCAAAGTTGCCATCATCCACTTTAGCACTTTTTGCCTCCCTAGAACTTTCCTTGAGTTTTTCTTCCTCAATTTGTTGGGAATGAACCATAAGGCGAGAGATATACATGTCATGAACAAGCATAGTGGTGCGACATTCTTTGACTACAATGTCAGACACTCCCGACACAAACTTACTCATCTTGGCCCTACGATCCACCACAGTGAAAGGAGCATACTTGAATAGTTAAGTGAACCTCAAAGCATATTCCCTTACAATCATATTTACATGCCTAAGGTTGATGAACTCAAGTAACTTGGCCTTTCTCATCTCTATAGGGAACAACATGTCAAGAAAATCACTTTTGAACCTTTGACATTCTACCAGACCCACTTCCACCTGCCTTGCTTCTTTCCACTGATTAAATCAAATGTGCGTAACCCCTTTGAGTTTCTAAGCACCTTGTTCCGCCTTCTCTACCAAAGTCACATCCATGATAGAAAGTACCTTATAAACTTCATCGATAAACACTTGAGGGTCTTCCTCAAGTTTGGAACCATAAAATTTGGGAGGGTTCATTTTTGTGAAATCCCTAATTCTTGCTACCGTCGTACCCACACTTGGGTTCACAGGGGATACCTCCTCTCTGTTAGCTTGTGTCATCACGGCTTGAGAAAAAACTTGGAATGCCGACCTAAACTCCCCATTAGTCACATTCTCATTTAATGGGTCAATCGGAGCTTGAGGAGGAACCTCTTGCTCAATATTGCCTTCCCCCAACCTTCTAGCATTAGCCCATCTAGTAGTCATTTCCTTAAAACTATCGGGCACGAATTAGGAGAAACACTTATAGAGTTAAACTCCATGGCACGACTTGAAGAAGTGAAGAAGTGGAATTTCCTAAACATCTAATAGCATGCTATTTACAAATGTGGTGCGCTTCACATTTATGAACAAGACTATACTAGACGTGGTTTGAGACATCCTAGAACCATTCTAAACCTTGTGCTCTAATTAACAAGTTTGTCGCGACCTAATGGAACCCCCCTAGATGCAACAAGGCGTATACGACCCCGAGAGGCCTCATACAAACCACTTAGCATATCATAACATAAAGTAATAGAAAAGGTGCAGGAATTTAAATCTTTCAATACAATCGAAGTCTTTTATAAAATCAAGCGGAAGTCTAATATGATATTGTCACAAACCATCTAAACATAAGAAAATGGAAATCTTGGGACGCAGCCCATACAATAGTCTCAAGATAAAAGAGAGACATAAAAGAGATAGGATTATCCCATCCTAGAATGCAATGAGGACTCACCAAAGCTTCACTTCACAATCCTCTAGAAACCTAGCCATAAGTGTGCAACTCGGGAACGTTGGAACCTAGATTTGATAAGAATGTAGGCAAGAGTATGTGTTAGTACAATCAAGTACTTAATATGATGGCTAGCAAAAACAACATAAACATAAGTGTTAATAATTAACGTATCAACTACACCTCATCCAATACTAGGTGTAGACGATCGTTAAGTAGTATAAACCAAACAGAAGAGTTGGGGTTGATCCCACATAGAGTAGTTATATTTTGAATTCAAATATGAGGTTATAACAGTGGATTTTGAAGCTAAAGGGCTAGAGATTTTTGGAAACTATTTATGAAATTTGAAAGATGACAACAATATGAGGGTGAGGTTTTTTAGATCAGAAAGCAACCTCAACAAGTAACTAGAAACAACCAAACAGGAGAAAGGTACTTGGGGGATTGACCAACTAATTGCTAAATCTAACTCATTGGGTGCAAATTGCTAACCAAAACTGCTAACTCTTCACGGGTATGATGAACTTTAGGTGAGATACTTTTCTCTCGACCAATTACCTCGTTTCAAATGAGTTTTCTCAAACCTCAATGCTTTAAACATAAAGACCAGTCCACATCCTCACCACATCTACTCTGTCGAGCTGAATACATAGCATGAGTCTTAGGATTCACTCTCTTGAGCTAAATCCATCATGACCCACTAACTAAGAGTGCCAACTTATCACTTTAGCTTTACACTTCTTTCTCAATCAAGCATAAACCAATAAATTATATTGAAATAATCAGGCAATAGAGTAGTTAAACCACAACGATAATTCAGACCCACTTAGGATTAGCACTAACATTCGTAATAACTAACACCTATCAAGCCAAATTCAGCAACTAATCACATTATCAAACCCCCAAGATTAGAGTTTTAGCTAATCATCATAAAAAAAAAGAAATTCAGTACCTAATACATGCTCCATAGCTAGGTATTGAAAATCGAAGTTTTAAGATGAATAATATATTTTCTATTACAATACCCAATTGAAATCTCTTGCCAAAATTCCCTAAAATCAACAAGAATAATGTTTTTGTTCTCTCTATTTTGTTCCACAATAACTGAATGCATTCTCTCCCTTCCAAAAAGTCAATTTATACATATATGAGATAAGCCGTCTTAGGGTTGATCGGCGAGGAAAGTTGGCTTCACCGACCAGTCGGCAACGCACCGATCGTTCATGTCCATCACCCTTTTCTTCTTCACATTTTCCTCATTCAGACACTATAACTTTAGGCAATCTAGATTGGGATCACTGATCACTTTCGTGATGTGCCTTTTACTCTTTTAGCTTGCCAATTAAATTTCATCTTGATCTTGATCAGAACATTCGGTGGTACAATCTTCCGTCGCCAATGCAGTTGGCGATTCGCCGATGAGGAATGTAGTTTGCCTAAGTTTTTCCCATTTTAGGCTCAGTGTTCTGTAAACTAAGGTGGTCTAGGGGAGACTCGATGATTCGCCGAGTTCTTTTGGCGATCTTCAGGCTTGCTTTTGTCCCCCTTTTCAGCTTGCTCTTTTTTGCCTATTAGTGTCCTTGTTCTGTTTCTCAACCCATATACCTGAAAATCAAGGATTCAACATCAGTTTATGGCACAAATTAAGCATTTGAGGACACTAAATCTATCTCAACAAACCCCAAAATGAGTCCAAATATCAGACTTATCAACACCCCCAACTTAAACTTTTTCTTGTCCTCAAGTAAAACTCAAGATCAACAATTCAAAAAGGATGTCTCATATGGTGTTGCATAAGACTCGACATGAATGCACACAACAAGACTTAACTTACTCATGCAATGATCAATTATGCACTCAAAGATTCAAATTGTGACTCACCATTATCAGAGATGCTCAAGTTCAGAATACTTTCTTCAAATATAAGCTCAAGCTCAACAAAGGTAATCAAATTCCCTCACAACAAATATGATTCCCTCCTCACACAAAGTTCTTCAGTAATTTATAGTTCCGGAATGACATACATTTCTCACACTCAAAAAGATGAACACAGCATGACTTCACCCATAGGTTTGCCCTTATTTTCCAATCAACATTCATTTCATCTCACTTAAGATCACAATGATCTTTTCAAGGCTTGTAACTGGGTTGAGTGTAAAGGTATGGTCATTTAGGCTTAGTGGCTACTACACTCATGATATGTGGTCTGAACATCACTTTCTTCCTTTTCTTCACATTTTGATCATGCTCATAATTCACCCCATTATTCACTTTCAAATGGATAACCCAATACCCCATTTATTTTGCAATTTCAACTTGTTTATTTCACAAATTTTTCATTCTTTTTCTTTTCATCTTTTCTCTCTCTTTTTGTATGGAGAGGTTCCATCTTTTTCAAAAGCATAGTTCTAAGGGGAATTTTTCACACTTCTTGATTTACTTACTATTTTCCCCACACCCCCAACTTAGGCTTTTGGCCTAAGTTGGCTATTCAAACCAACCACACTTCATTAGAGTTATGGGTGAACGGATAAAGAGGGATCACAATTGCTCAAGTTTCTTCCAAGAAAAGGATAAAGCTCAAGAGGGTTCAAGCAAGGTTCACACATCTCACAAGGTTTGCCACAAAAGAGGTATATTGTCAGATTGTTTCACTTTTTAATATTTTTGTCTAAGATCATTTCAGGTGCTTGCATCACTTAGTCAACAGGACCAACGTGGCAAATTCTAGGTGTTATCACACATAATGTTCACATAAGACATTCACACTAATATCAAACGAGACTCCACACTTTCTAGCTAGTGTGAAATGTTCATCACAAGAGACTTCATTCGATAACCGGCTAGTCACAACGAGTTGCAAAAATTCCACACATTGTCTATGCAACTTCATTTGGCCTCATTGTAGCCGCGCATTAATTTTGTTCATTTACGAGCACTATTCAAGTCATCAGTATTGATCACAACCTATACTCAAATATCATTCGAGAGAATAAAAGACTTAACAATCAGACTCCTACCATCTTCACCAAAAGCATCCAACATTTTCCCTAATGTGAGTAGAGAACTAACAAGAAAAAATAAAGATAAAATACTCGCACTCAAACAAACAGAGTAGGGAGACAAGGAATCTTCACTATGCACCCATTTGGTGAAGTTGCTGCATTTGCCAAACTATTTGGCGAATCGCCAAAGTGGCTGGAGTTCACCTAATTTTCCAATATGCAACCATTCCATTTTTGAGTAGGAAGGCTGAAAAGAGCAAGTTCCTCGAATCATATCAGCTATCACCTAATGGATGTGAGACCTTGCTAAAAGATCCAAGACTCCATGCTATCAGGACTGGTGCAAAAAGGCAGAGAATGTCGGGTAGCCCAATCACATCGGCGAATCGCCTAGTGGAGCATGTATCCCGCCTAATGTTCCTAGTGTCTCAGCCAATTGTTGATGCCAGGAAGGAAATCAACTACGTGATCACCGAACTTACGCGGCATACAACCGAACAGGTCTTAGCCTCGCAAAATTACCTATACCTGCACATTGAGCACGTATTATTCAAAACAATTAACACTTGGGTCTCCTCCCAAGAAGCGTCTTATTTAACGTCTTGGCACGACATGGAAATTCTTTCAAGCATTTTCCTGATACACCACTTCAATCACAGAAATTTCATGGCATTCTCCAAAATACAACTTCAAGTATTGCCCATTCACCTTGAAGACAGGGCCCTTTTTGCCTTTGAATTTGATGGCTCCATTTGTGAACACATGCGTTACTCTAAATGGGCCAGACCATTTTGATTTGAGCTTTACCACAAAGAGTCTCAGTCGATAATTATATAGCAACACCCAATCTCCAACTTGAAATTCCCTCCTAAGGATTTTAGAATCATGCCACTTCTTCATTTTTTCTTTGTAGAAGGCTAAAATTTCATATGCCCTAAACCTGAATTCATTCAACTCATTTAGTTGATCTACTCTTCCTCTTGAAGTCTTGGCCCAGTCAAGATTCACAGCCTTTAATGCCCATAATGTTTGTGTTCCAGTTCAACTCATAGATGGCAAGATTTCCCAAAAACTAGCTGATACGGAGACATACCAATTGGTGTCTTGTAGGCAGTGCGATATCCCCATAGATCATCATCCAGCTTGCGACACCAATCAGTCCTATTTGCATTTACAGTCTTCGCCAAGATACTTTTGATCTCCCGATTTGAAACTTTCACTTGGACACTCGTTTGAGGATGATATGGCGTTGCTACTTTATGTCGCACCCCATATTTGCTCAATGCATAAGCAAAAAGCTTGTTGCGAAAATGGGATCCACCATCACTAATAATATCCTGAGGGGTGCTGAACCTAGCAAAGATGTAGCATTTTAAGAACTGAACAACACTTTTCCCTTCATTGTTTGGTAGTGCTACAACTTCGACCAATATAGAAACATAATCTTCTGCCACCAAAATGTATTTATTACTAAACGAACT